TTTGGCAGACAGTATGGAGAGATCTTGGGAGTGAAAGAGTTCAGCAAAGAACATTTTAACGGTAAATCTATTGGCAAATACCACAAATTTTTTTTAGAAGGCGTCTTCACTCACAGTTACACCTTAAGTCTTTCAAAGAGCTTTGACTCGGTTACACATGTGCTGACTGAGACAAGTATTGACCGAAACTCCCACGAAGAAAAGTCGAGCATTACTTCTGAAAGTCAATAGAGGCGTTTCGGTGTAATTTTTGAAGGTCAATATCAATTGGTCTGCCGTTGATATATCGATTTGTTGACATCTGAGTGAATGAGAAAATTGCATATTGTGACCCCTAACAACAGTCGTTCCGTGCTTCGCGTATCCACGACTAAAACTGACAAAAATTGTGGGTTGAAAATAACGAACTACTGGGATTCCTAAACCAGGGATCCCAGTAGATCTAGAGTTTGGTGACTGGTCGTTTTGTTCGTCTCCTTTGGTTTTATTGCTGTCGGTCAGTATTGCATCCACACTTGCTGCCCGACGGGCTCGATCAGTAAAACGATCCAAATTCCAACCGAAACGCGAAGGGAACACTGGACAAAAAATATGATATTTTATCGAAACTTAAACATGAAAGTTCTTTTTGATGATAAAAATAATTTCTATTGGGCAGCTATTCAAAGAATTTTCAACGTGTATTTAAGACAAAAACAACATCACACCTGTCTTCTTCTTGTTCAGTAAATAGATAAAGGAAACTAGTGCTCATGGACATGAGATAACCCATCAACTGAGGGCCTTGTTAAAACAAGTTCTGCTAAAAAAATGCAAGAAGTGGTAGATCAAGAAGATCAAGAAGAAATAAGAAACGAAAACATTTTTGCATTAGAAAGAGATCCATAAAAAAGGTGCGATTTTAAGAAAAAAATTAAGCGTGTGATTTGCGTAAAAGTCTTGAAGATAAGTTTTGAATATCTATGGCGAGTTTATATTTAAAAAAAACGTTTTAAATTTTGAGAGAACCTAAATTATTTCGCTCTAAAGTTAACTAAATTTATTTCCTTTTTTTTTTTTTCAATCAAAAAGATAAAATCTTTCAAGTAAAACCCAGGTGGTGAAAAGAAATTGCTTCACGTTTGTTTTCAGTCTATTCAAATTGACTGACTTGTTAATCTTAAAGATGGAAAGTTCTAAGGGTATTTCACACGTTATTCAAATAACAGGAGTGTGAGTGGACCGCTTAAGTAATTAATCCTGGTGGATTCAAAAACGGAACCATACTGAGCCTGCTGACAGCCTCATATGGGACCGACGCGAACGAAATTTGCGCGAGCGATTCCGGGCTGTTTCGGCCCAAGAATAAAAAATGGAAAAACGGTTATTCTTCTTTATAGCATTAGCATGACTGAAGCCGTCTTGAGATCGTTGGAGGACGGTATGTAAAATTCCCCATCAAAATATGACAGTTAAATGTCAGCCTAATATGAAGAACTAATGAATGTGAGTGGTTAGCCAATCAGAATAGTCAACATCCCTCTCTCGAGAAGTTAAAATCTTTTTCAAGATAAGATTATTTCAAAGCAGGAGGGAACAGCCAGTTTCATTGCAGGTAGTTTTGAAAACATCAAACTTTCGCATCAACATGTCGACATCGTTTTTAAACTTAACTGGAGACGAACAGCGGAAAACACTCGGACAATTAATCTGCTCGGCTGTAGTAACAAACGCAATACCTTACCAAGTAGTATATATCGCAGCGGTTAATGTATTTCTGTCCATTACTGCAATTCTGGAAAATACTCTGATACTCTTTGCCTTACACAAGGAGTCTTCGCTGCATCCGCCATCCAAACTTCTCCTCCGAAGCTTAGCAACGACCGATTTGTGTGTGGGGCTCATTGCCCAACCTGTGTATGCCAGCTATCAGATAAGTCTCGCACAGGGACACTGGTCTGTTTGTCGCTTCAAATTCGACGTAAGTTTTTTAGCTGGTTATGTACTATGTTCAATGTCTTTGTTGACAATAGCTGCAATAAGCGTGGACAGACTTGCCGCCTTGTCTTTGGGCATCAGGTATCGACAAGTTGTAACTTTGAAACGAGCTCATATTTTTGTCGGTTCCTTTTGGGTCGTATCCCTTTGCGCCGCAGGGATCTACTTCTGGAACTACCTGCTAACAACATCGTATTGTTACATATTGATATCAGTTTGTTTAGGGACATCTGTGGTCTCCTATACCAAGATTTTCTTGGTTCTCCGTCGTCAACAAACTCAGATAGAGAATCAGAGCAATCAGGACCAAACCATAAGTCCTTTGAACATGGCTCGGTACAAAAAGGCAGTAAACAGTGCATTGTGGCTGCAAGCTGCATTAACCATTTGTTATATGCCTCACGGTGTCGTGGAAGCGTTGCTGACATTTTTGGGAACAACTTGGTATTTCGTTTTAGCACGAAATTTTACAGCATCTTTAGTTTTCATGAATTCATCGTTAAATCCGATTCTTCATTGCTGGAAAATTAAAGAAGTGAGACAATCTGTACAGGGGACAGTTCAACAACTTTATTCTTTGTTGAAAAGTCCGTTCAGTTCTCGTGTGGAATCTACGAATTCCAATTAACTATGATGTGTGTCTTAAAACAAAAATGCAGAAAGTTTGAGACAACTTTGTGCAAAGAAGTAAGATGGAGCGTTAACATAAAAGAGGCAGGTACCCCTAACAAACATTTATTAGTAATTCAGTTTACATAACTGTCAGATCTACTTTCGCTTTTCATCTCAGCAAATGTGTTTATTTTCAGTGAGGGCCTTTCGAGCTCCAGCGTGGCGTATGTTTAACGGCATTATTTAGAGGTTGCTTCGCACGTTATGTCAATAGTATGACAAAACATTTATTTTACACCAGGTCACGTACATAGAACCAGCAGATGCATTCTCTGTAGATAACAAAAAATGAAATAAGGGCATAAAACTCTGAGCCAAATTGGTGTTTCACAAAGCTAAAAGAAAATTGCTCAACGAGATTCTGACGAAAAAATTGGCTTACCTTGATTCAAGATTCATGAAAGAAATTTAAATTCATTTGGTACTTGTCAGTTACCCAATTTCTTCCTATCTTTCTCTTTTTTTGTCAAATTAAGTAAGTATTTTTCTCTCTTTTTATGTTATCATTATTATTATTCTTATTATCATTATTATTTTCATCATCATTATTATGATTATAATTACTTCTATCACAGCCTTTGCTGGGTTTCTTTTTGTGCATCAGCAGGGCGCAAACCATCCGCCCTTTTTGAGGATCTGCGCAGATCCCAACATGCAGATCTTTTGCAGCTCTGTCACAGCAGCTGCTACTGGTACTTTCTTTATGTTTTTCACCATCCCCTTCTTTACTGTACCAAGCGCACCAATAACCAAAGGGGTGACTACTACAATCTCTGTTTTTTCTAGCTCCAGGCCTTTGCACTTGCTTTTCTCTTCCATTTCCTTCAGAGCGGTTTTTGAGTTATTTTTTTAAAAAAAATAACTATATGTTAGCGAATAGATTGGTGTATTGTGGTGTAGTGTAATCTGATCAGCGCAATATTTAGTCTCGTCATGAGAGATAGCGTTGCGTGACAAGTTCAAATTAGGGCTGTGGAGGTGACTGCAGGAAGCGTTGTACCAATGCAGTTTATTTTTGCCCACAATTATTCAGACACCAGCATCAGTTATATAGTGTCCCATTTCAACCTACGTATCCAAAAAAATAACTCCTGCATGCGTAGCATGCCTATGTTTTTATCTGATGGGACGGTCATATCAATCAGTTTTCAGATGGAATTCATTGAATTATCATTGTTATTATCATTATTATTATTATTATCATTATAATCATTATCATTATTAGTATGCAGTAAGTTAAGCTTGGATAGAATTGTAACGACCCTAACTATCCAAGGGAAGCGGGGGGGGAGGGGGAAATGAAATTAAAAGGTCACCTCTCATGCACCAAAGTAGGAATGAGATCGATTGGAAGATGCATGCAATTTAAACTGTGAAAGAAGACGGGGGGGAAAGGGATTTTGAAATCTTCCATCGCAAGTATGGGGGGGTTAAAAAAACACTGTATACTTTAAGGGAGGATCACGTAAGTGCACCGTTGTCGCAACAAAAATCCTCCCCCCTCTCCCCTCCCCCCAAGCGATAGATACCGACCGGTCCTTTATCATGTCAATAAATTATATAGACGAGTTCTTGTAAGAACTTATTTATCAACGAATCTGATGAGAAAAACTTTCTGTCGTTTACAGGAAAAATTTTTTGTGTTGTGTTTCAAACTGAACGTGACGTCAGATTTGTCCATACAAAGGAAAAACACCTCCTATAAGTTTTGGCCTCCCCTTATCTTTTGCTCGTATTGAGTCTGATTGGATGTTGACTCCATAAACTTGATTGCCTATTATAAAGCATTTGGCGTACTATGAAAGTGTTATTGAACTCAAAACATTCAAAACGTTCCAGCAGATGACAAAATTGCCATTAGCGTCCTTCCACATAATCATGTTTTTGGTCTTTTTTTTGTAGCCCGCTTTAACTTAAAGACATATCATTACTGAAAACAGTATTTATTATAGCGGCTGTGTCATTCTCAAAGTTTCTTAAAGACATATCATTACTGAAAATAGTATTCATTAAAACGGCTTTGTCATTCTCAAGTTTCGAACCTTCCTTTCAAGCGTGTAAATTACTTTTTAGGTTATTTTTTTTGCTTGCTTTTACGACGTAATAAATCAACTTTACCTTCAACCCTAAGTCAAATGTGTTTAAAATTTCACGCTATGATGTTTGAACACGCGTCAGGCTACAATTAAAAGATGTTCCCTAAACCTACTTTGAAGCTAGAAAATAAAGTTTTCACAGTCTCATTTAGTTGCGCTTGAGCCACACCTAATATCTACATGCCCCAATTGAAATGTGAATTTGTGAAATCAGTTGAATAAGGACGAAAATACACTTGAAAAACTGAGCTCAAGAGATGATTATAAACATCGATAAATAGTTAAAAAAATAATTTCAAAACCCCTCGTGGTCACCCTGCACGATATATCGAAATAAGATATAAATGAATAAGTTAAAATTACACAACCTCTTCGAATGATTTTTCACTTTTTAAACAAATGCTCTTCAACTCCCATAGTTCATTCATACTGCGTATCACCCTTACATTGTCGCTTGTCTTCAGTTTGTTCATTAGAAGCTCTTGAAAATCTAACGGCTTGAGAATATCGATCTCCAATAAGGCCCCTTCCTCTTTGAACAAACTGTACCATCCTTGGGTCACCTTTCGGCCGAGCGGCCAAGTCTCCATTACTTGATAGACTTCGTACGCCGGGTAATTCCCCTTTTACATCGTTCTGAGATATTGCGTTTGTCTGCCGTCTTCCTCTCTGCACATATACATCGGGGTTAAGTAATTTGTGATTGACACGGTGGGAATCGAACGTAGCATTCCTCCGTCCAAAACGGTGGGCGTTAATTCTTGATTCGTACCCCCTATCCTCTGTCATCGTAACCTTTGACTTATCCATGGATTGCAGTGGGTCTATAGTTTGCTGATGCATCCTACTTTCAACAAAAATCAACGATAACTGGCATGTCACTTCACAACTTATATCTACTAATGCAGTTTTAAAATTAGACCCAATGACGTTAATTACCAAATATGGTATCATTGATAGGTAAACTGTTCTACTTCCGGTCACGGAAAAGTAAAGGATCCTCCAAAGTTAATTTTAAGGGTTAAGCATGAAAAACAGATTGTTTTCCAAAGTGCTTTTTTTTTTTTCATGCGATAGGCAATGTCGATACCAAAATGCTCTAATATGATCGGTTCTCAAAAACGCTTCAGTTTGTGGCTTAATGGGCTGTTTCAAGTCCAAACCGAGTTCACAAATGTTATTGGACAGGCCAAATAGGACCGTTAACCAGCCCATAATGATAAAGCACTTGGAGCCATCAGCCAATAAAACTCAACCACCAAACTAATGCTAGCCAATCAAAATGAAGAACACTTCTAAATCAAGTGAGCAGGTTAACTGAGAGATACACATTCCGAAAAAAAAACAAACATGGACGAAATTAGCTTTATTCAGCATTTTCATCTGAAGAATAAAGTGTGGGCTTTTAGATTAAGTGCTTTTTTCTTTAGTTTCTCGCAATTTGTTATCGACCGAAAAGGTTGAGTCATAGAATTTAGGGAATAATCGTGCTCTTCTATAAATTCATATTAGAATCGATATCAAAATCAATATCAATGAATAATCCTTTATTTTCAAATTTCAAGGAAAAAGGGCGTGCGCATGCGTAAAGATCGTTGTTTGTAACTCTATTCCTGTGTCGGTTTGCATCGTTAGCAACACACTTTAAAGCTGGGCTCTCCTAATGTCCCGTACCACCCTGCAAACGAAAACGAATGTATTTTCGATTGACGCTAGCGCTTTGTTCCTCTTTGAGAATCGACAATCAGAACTACGTCCGCGCTTGCTGTTTCAGAATGAAGCGCGAAAGGATTTGTAAGATTCAACTTTTAAACTCCGAGAAGACGTTAACCTCTAACTTCTCCCATCGATATCAATCCTTTATTGTCAAATTTCAAGGAAAAAAGCGCATGCGCATGCGCAAAGATCGTTTCTGTAACTTTATTTGTGTCTGTTTGCGTCGTTAGCAACTCACTTTAAAGCTGGGTTCTCCATAGCTTACAACTGCAGTAATGTTGTAGTTGTAATGAAATCTCTTTAGCTTACAATGTGTAGTATTTGCTTATTTATTAATAATACCCGCCAAGATTAGCTAATGCTATATGCGGGTTGTGTAAATTGGCTTTTAATGTTCCATGAAATAATAATAAAACAGTATAAACAGAATAAACAGTATCGTCCCGTACCACCCTGCGAACGCAAACGAACGTTCCGATTGACGCTTTGTTCCTCCTCAAGAAACGTCAATTAGAAATACGTCCGCGCTTACTATATATATCTTATTAACCAAGCGCGAGGGCCGTACTGGGAGAATATCGGCCCGAGGTCTTGACAGTATGGACCGAGTGCAGCGAGGTCCGTAAAAAAAAGAACGAGGGCCGATATTCTTCCAGTACGGTCCCGAGCAAGCTTGGTTAATAAGAGATTTATTATACGACTGAAGTTCAAAGGGACACAAGTGCGGTATCATTCGGGACCATTCGGGACAGTGCCCGGTCCAATACTTAGAGAATATTGGACCGGCAATAGAGCATTTTGATTGGTTGATTTTAGTTATTGGCCCTCTGACTGCCCGAGTCGTGTAATAATTTAGAATAAAGCACGAAAGGATTTATACAATTCAACTTTTTAACTCCAAGAAGATGCTAACCTTAACTTCAGTCCCATCGACACCAAAATCGATATCAATGCATTATCCATTAGAGCAGTGATGAAAATACTACAAAGATATTAGTCGGAGGATGTCACCTTGATGGCACATAAACACAATAAAGGACCAAGGGGGGATCCCATTACAACTCCTTCACACTGTTCGTAAAGATGGCCATCGAACTGGAAGAGTTGATCAGTGGATGCCATTCTAAGAAGTTGAGCAAGCTGATCCTTCTGTATGTTAAGATCATACGATGAGTTGAACCAGTTCTTGGTAAACGCTTTATCGACGAAGACGTTGATTGGTGTTTGAACAGGAACATTTGTACACGGTGACGTTACATCGTACGAGACAAGCATATCATCTTCAAGGACGGTATGATTGCGAATTTCTTTAGAGAAACCTAGTCTGAATTTCAGCCGTCTCTTCCCTTTACCCCAAGGGGGGCGCGGGAAAACACATCAGTGTAGATGAAGCAGATTTATACCAGGCAGATGGTCATTTATTGTATTATGAGAGAAGGCCTATATACGAGTTTTCATGCTATTTTTTTAATCGTTTTTAGCAAGGAGAACAAATGATTATGAATAGAAAGCCAAACAGGAGAGAACAACATCTCTTGTTTAATGATCTAAGCTCACAGACCGACTCACATATATAGACCTAACTGGAAAGCAAATATGGTCTTGGAACACGATTATATAATATAGAAGCGAAATCGACCAAGTCCGCCATGATTGAAATTATGTGAAATGTTGTTACAATGTTTTTCAACCGTTCTTGTCATATTCAGAATCACTTTAATCCATAGTTTTTTCGAGTAATTATGGTTCAAGTCCCATCTGGGGCTCGGATTTTTTCTATTACACTAAAAATTATAAGACTGTTGTAATATCATGAACAAAATTAAATTTGCCATGGAAACTGTGTGACTTGTCCGAGACTCTTTCCATGCGAGGGAGTCGGACTATGAATAAACTCTTCTCCACCAACTTTTCATTTATCAGGTTTTCGATCACCACAGAAGACCAAACAAAAAGACTGCCGAATGAAAAATATCCCCCATCATCTTTATTACCATAATAAATAGACAAATTCAGAGGAAGACTAGAAAATTAATTCCTTTGATTGAAATCAACGAAGCTTTGTGCTACTGAAAAACGAGCATTGGGGTTTGTTGTGGAGACTACACGAAGTGTTATTTCTTGGATCTCCGTTTATTCCGATTGTACTGACAAAAAAACGTCGATCGTGTTAATAATTATCTCAACATCAATAATGCTAATAATTTTCACTTTAATAGTAGTCGGTAACTTTGTGGCTATCAAGAAGTAATTACCCTGCAAATTTTTAAAAGCTAGTAAAGATTCAGTTTCTCCAAGTGTGACTGTACAAGCAGGTAATAGTCTACACAAAAAAACGCTTACCAAAAAAGGCGTCACCATTTCGTCTTTCTAAAGGTAGGATTCTATCCAAATCCTTCTCGAATTTTAAGAAAAGGTTCGTCCCTACATCATCTTCCAAGTTTTTATTTCGCGGACTGGCGTCAAGTGATTCCTACGTAGGTTCACCGTGTTGATACATCCGGTTGTCTTACAGTGGATTTTTGCGAAGGATGAACTTTAGAACTTGTGTGACTTTGCACAACAAGTTCAGTTTATCAGGTTACGTGCGTTGCTCTTTTTCAAGAACTGGAGGCGATAGGGACAAACAGACTACTCGCCTTGTTTCTGTAGTTGAGATACAGACAATTGTGATCTTACACGTACGTTTGTGGTCTCAACCGCCTTTTGGATTGTGTCAACCATTGCAGTAGCAATGTACTTTTAACATCTTTGATAAACCTCTGGTATGGTTAAATGACTTCAACAACAATGGCGGTTCGTAGGCAACCAGTCTCAATCTTGCTACCCAGATCTTGCTCCCGCTTCGCCATTACTACTCCCAGGTTCAAAGCCACATTCACCGTTAACTGAACCAAACACACTCAAACAGTACAAGGTTAATATAATCATTATTTTCATATACCATTACACTTTACTGCAGCATAATTACTTTTTGTTTTTTTTTTTTTTGTTGGGGGGGTAGGGGTGATCATTATCAACTCACATTCCCTTGTAGTGGTTCTAAAGGAATAAGGCCACTGCCGAAAACGAGGTTCGTTAACAAATATTCAACCAAACGACTAATCTCTGTCAACTACATGTAAAAATTCCCCTTTAAACCGTGAAAGAACTTTCAAATATCTCTTTATCAAGAAAAGCAAACACCATAGAGGATTGAACACAGCAGCAAAGAGAAAACGGATTGATGATGGCGACGCGTTCTAAACGGCAAACGCTAAAGGTTTAGTATATACATGAACAGTGTCCTACTCAGTCAAATTGCCGTCTTCTTTTCCTTAATACGTACAGTCATAAACGTACCCATCTCTAAATGCGCTGCCGTTAAAAAGTAAGTGAACTTATTTACGTATAAGTTGAGAACAATTGATGAACTAAACTATAGAGTAAAATACAATGTCTCTGAAAGGAACGAGGACTGGGTACACTATTTTAATCATGGCTCCTAATTTCTCCTTACTGTAATGGTATCATTCTTGAATCACATGTAAAAGTCATGGGAATAAATGCAATGATCACCTATTGAAGAAGAGTAGTAAAGGGGGGGGGTCAGGATCACGTTTCACAGAAAATAATTGATCCTTTCACAATTCACGGGAAATAACATTACTGTTGAAACTTTAACCAATCACGACGAATTAAATACTTCTTTCTCATTTCACGGAGAATTATTTTGGAAAATCACGGTTCACGGCTACTAATGAAATCACGATTCACGAGAAAGAAAACGAGCCATTTCACGTTTCACGGGGAAAAAAAGTAGGCCATTCACAAGTCACGAAAATACCCTTTACCACCCTCTTGAAGAAGCTTCTGATTGTTGAACAAATTCTCCTTGTCAGTACCGTTGGAAACATGTAGAGAACAGTATGGAGAATATCAATATTAACGTTAGGGTGCTAAGGGTAAATGGAGCCAGAAATTACACTGGTAATATACACTGGTACAGTTTCTTATTGTTATTACAACAATGGTTATTGTCATTCAGTTATTTACATGAAGTGTTTGGCACTGTGTTATCAACCTTGCAGCTTAACGTGTACACATGTTCAGCTATAAAAGTGAAATAGGACAATTTTTTTCTTAAACCGAAGTCTGTCTGTAATTTGATGTGTCCAAGACTTGTTTCCCACACATGGCACAAATTCCTGAAAGAGACAACATCCATTGGTCATAAATTAGACAACAGGTTTGAAATGGGTGGCAAAAGATGTTAGATATAGCTCCATGACTGGTTAAGGGAACTTGCACCACATTAACCAATCAAATGTTAAACTACACCAAACTGTGACTTGGTCTCTTGTGTTCTAATTGGTCACTCTGGGTATTTCTCTTTGTTCTGCATGGCCATTGTGGATACTTTGGTTTTCGTTTTAAGACATTTCCATAAAATAGCACATGTCCCACTGACCTTGACAAATTAATAACATCCTTCCTTGCAAAACAACCAATCTCATATTTTTTCATCTCTTTTTAATCATTTACAAACACACCCTTTATACAGCCCCATTCTCCATCCTGAATACAGTTCTTGGATAAAGAATACAATGGCAAAAACAATAGATTGCATTTGGGACTAGGACTTTGTTTACAGTGGTATGGGGTTATATCATTGGAAATCTTCCCAAATAATAAAGTAAATATTTGAAGACAATTCTCATTTTCAGATTTTAGATGTTTGAATTTCTTTTTTTTGCACTTTTTGGGGGTACAGCATGGTACAATACTGAGTCTGAAGTAATGAAAATTGAAATAGAACAATAAACAGATAAAATTGAGCCACGATTAACATTTACATGTGAAAAACACAAACAAACCTTTCTTGTATGCACAGCCTGTTGAAGTGAAAAAAAAAAATAGAAACATCAAATTACATGAAACTTGTCCACTAGGCAAATAACAGACTGACCACAATTTCCAATCATCTTTAACCTTACTTATCAGAGAAATGATGTCAATAATTTTCAAAACTAAATTGAAACTACAAGCCACAGCTGAGTGGTTTCACTGCAAAGTTTTGAACATAATTGTTGGTACTCTTTAAGACATCTTCAAAATTTAAAAATGTCCTCAGAAGTCTCCAGGTATGATCAGGTAGTATTTCATTCTTCTTAAAAAACCTCAAGCTTAAGATGCAGAGACATGGTTACTGGTACAAAGGAAGGTTCAAAAAGTTTAAAAGCTGAAAATGGTCCTAGAAACCACACAGAATCTTCAAGTGACATCCTTCCTCGATCACCATCAGGGCCCAGTTGTATAGGTGGTTTGCACGTTATGTCACTGCCACCATGTTGGTGGACGTAAACAATAGATATCTCATTAGCTCTCCTTGTTCGTCCACCAGCATTTGTTCTTTTCAGCATTGTTACCTGAGTCTCTAGAGATTGGTTGCAAACCACCTATAAAGGGGAGGTAAAGTTATCCAATGGATAAAACACCATCCAGGGGATGCATTATACCAAAATGTGCTGCACTATCCACAGAATAGCAATTAATCCTGTGGATTACATTATTCAACCTTGGACAACTGGGGCCAGGCTGCGTAATAGACAAAAAAACACTGCTCTCTAGTTGTTAAAAAAACACAAGGTCACAATAAATCTTCTTTAAGCAAGAATCCCACATACTTTGACAGTAGTGTGAATGTGCCTGATGGACAGTCTGTTTACATATTCTGCACTTATTGAAGGTTGTATATGGGTTAAATCTGAAATCAAACAAAAAAAGAGAGAACCGTCAGCTTGTCTACTGTTCAACTGACTGAGTAAATGGTGTTCTTAAGGTTTAACTATAAAATCCAATTGTTGCTTGTCAAGCTTAATTTATGAATAAATGTAACTTTGAAGTGTTTCAACCATTCTTTAAGACATAGTTAAGAGATTCATGGTATCGTTTACGCTAACCATTCCAATCATCACAATTTTGCAATGTTAGCATTTATATCGGCCTCGAACACTAACAACAGTATGTACAACTGGACTTTCATTTCGAGTATGTGCAATCGATCCCTCACCTGTTCTTTTTTTGTGTGAGAAGCTTGTTTTCGTTAACTTTCCTTCCTCCACCCTCTAAACATTGAATGGAAAGGCAGATTATTCAATTTTAGTAAGGAAGTATCGACACAGATCAAGAAAATCGGTCTGTCTACACACTTTTACTAAATGTTCAGCCATTCGTTTAATCTTCATGTTTAGAAGTACTCATTCTGTAATTCATGAATCGAACACTTGTCCTCAAGGTGTAGTTATGTTTATTACCTGTCGTGTTTCTTGCTCCAGATTTCCACGGATCGGGGCAAATCACTTTCCCGAGTTTTTTCTGACCTGCGTCGTGAAAGCAGTAACAACCAAATTAACAGTTGTAAAGTTCACGGAGAAAGCCCATCCTAAACCCGACTTACGTCATTATGTTAAACATCTGGCTATCAATTAGGAAACAGAAATATCTTACATTTATCGCACACCATCTTTTGTGGAAAAAATCGTATTTCTTGTGGGGGAATTCGAAGCTTCAGTAAGATTAAGACGAAAGTGCTCTATTTGGGAAACGAAATTTAAATTACGTCATGTCAAACTACACCAAATGCATCCTAAGCCCCAGACTTCCCTCTCCCAATGTTGATGTCTCTCTGCTGATAGTTGGGCCTTGCTAGAAACTATTGTGCCATTTTGAAATGCCAATTGAAGGAAAACATGAAATGATTACTAAAAACTTGTTTGTTTAAAAAACATTAATGTCCAGATTAGGGTGCTACATTAGACCTCCTGTAGTCTTTCCAGTCATAAATTTGCTCCCTTTTAAAGACTACAGCACCTCTATTCTAGGGGTTAGGGGTAGGAGTGGGGGAAAGGGTAGGGCGTGAGGGTTAAAGTTATGATGTCACATCCTGTATATGCTACATTCTGTAAAGAAGCAAGGGGGCTGATTCAGTTTAAAACCCTGGCCCTGGTTGTTCAAATGTTGGATAGTGCTGCCCACTGGATTATTCACTATCTAGTGGATAAGTACTGGGACAGCTTATTCCACCATCCACTGGATATACATTTATCTGGTGGGTAGCCCTATCCAGCCTTGGAACAACCGAGGCCAGTTTGGTAAATTCATGAATTACTCTTGAAGTTAATCCAGCATTTTTCTTACAGTTACAGTTTTGTTTCAATTTGACGATTGATTTCTCTAAGAGGATAATGTTTGTCTGGAAATTGGCAACATTAGTAATTGTAATTGGGCAATGGTGGCATTTGGTACTATTGACTGTCCTCTTATTATCATTGACAAACCAGCCTAAACTCTTGTATTTCAAAATCCAGTCTGGCAAATTAATAGTCCTGGTTAATCCAGTTTTGTGCATACAGTTTTGTAACAGTTTGAAGAATCAAAACCATTAGGACTATTAAGATTCTAGTCACACCTTAAAAGAAGAATGCTTGTCTTTTTAGTGATTTTATTGAATTGTAAGTGCTGGTATGATGTTCTGCAACAAAGTTAGAATGTTTTGCTTCCAAGTTATGTAACATTTTTCATTGAACAAGTTTCTTTTTATTTCAATATTACACTTTAATCCAAATACATGTGTGACAGTTTGGTATCATTAAGTAGGTGCTGTAGTGAACCTGCTCTAAGCAAATTCTCACTTTGAAAGATCTTGACATGCCTCAACACAAAAAAGGAATGCAAACCTTAATTTATTTACTTTTGGAACACCAATAAATTTGAAGTTCTCACTGCATTGAACTGATTAACTCTTGAAGTGGTGGAACATTTCTATAAGAGCAGTTAACCTCAGTGTGGTGTCACACCTAGACATCTTCCCAGTCATCCACATCCAAAGGAGTTTTATGGACTTGTCTCAAACTTCAAAAAAGTATTATTTTGTGGTGTGAAATTCCTAGAATCCCAGGCGTTTAAGCAGTGTAAAAACTTCATCTTTGTAACTTCCTCGTATTATTACTTGGCTTGTTAGTTCATTTCATGAGGTTATAATATCATTTCCGAGATGACTTTTCAGACATTCTTCTAATGCCTAGCAAGGAAACAAGGAAATGAACACTGATGATATTTTAGACTCATTTAGAACACTATTCAATGAATTACATAAATACTAAGGACATGATTACAATTTAATTATTGCAATGTGAGTAAATAATGTAATTTATCTAAAAAGAAACAGGTTCTAAATTACCAGATGTTAGCATCTCTGACTCTTTTAATAAAGTTGTTTTCTATTCATGTCATTTCTCAAATCATTTTATCGCTCATTATTCAATCCCTAAATTGTAATGGATCAGGAAGATTTTGTCAAGGTAACATACAAGTTTATGAACTACCAACAAAATCAATCATGCAGTTAAACAAAAAAATTTAGTGGAGTTGAAAAAATACCTTAACTACTCAATGCCTTCATCTTTTACTTCACTGAATTGAAGTACATTAGGCTTTTCAACAGCTTTGTATAATAGTGGGTCATTTGTGCAATGACCCTGAGAAATATTCTAATGACTGATACTCAAGTAATTACCTTTAGATCTCCTTTGACCCTCTTTATTATTGTTAACTTGCGAGTTCCTCCACTTCTATAATCTGTATATACTGGAATGTTATTGTATTTGCTTCTTTTAATGGAGAAAGGCAAGTCTGGCTTTTCTGAAAGATACAGAGAAAGGTGAGTGTACTTGGGGAATTAATGCACCTATCAATGGTTTGCCCCAGGATGGGGGGAGGGGACAAGCCACCCATGGGAAATTGACAGAGAGGAACCCCCTTAGGTAGGAATTTAGATATCTACACACTTCCTCTGGGTAAGAAATTTGACCTGACTGAGTGACATTAAACACTAAGAGTGACTAGCATACATACATACATACGTTAATTGACCACTCCCCATGGGGGCTTTTCAGGGCCAATTCCCACCCATCATACCCCAGGGGAGGACGTCCACTATACAGTAATCTCGTGCGTGGGAAATTAACGTCTCCTACCCCTAACCCTGCAGGAGACGAGATCTATGGCTTTACGTTTTATCTGAGAAGACGAAGCAATGTGAGTGAAGCGTCTTGTTTAAGGACACAACGTCATCCCCCATCCAGGACTTGAACCCGGGCCAACTGACCCAGAGTCCACTCCACTGACCACTGGACTACTCACGGGACTTACCCCTTCTAGTGAAATTAAGTTATTTTAATGTTTTCCTAGCCTCTTCAATGATTATTCCCTTCATCTTCAGAGCAAAACTTATTCAAGGTTTGAGATTGACATAACCAGTAGTAATGGGCGCCTGACTTAACCTAAGAATCTCAGCATTTAAGGAAAAACAGTTGTAAAAACATTTTCGCTACAGTTGTTTAAATCTAACACAAATGAAACGGTCTTTTAAGTGCGTTCTATAATCTGCGCATTTTGAAATCACGTATACAATGTTTTATAACTCCTAATACTTGTCGCTTTAAAACCAAAGCCGAAAGCCTTTTATCAGTACCCTTCAAGGGTGAAAACTTGAAAGCATTTCTTTCCACTCACAAAGCGTTTCGGAAAGGGGCAAAGAAAGGCTCTCTTTGTAGGAGACCGTCATATTTAGTACACTTAGTAAATCTTTTATTCCACAAATGGAATTTCATTTTTGCAAGAGGTGTCTCATTATCATCCATTATCTATCAACGCCAGCGATGATTGCTCGCTCATTTGAGCTTGAACGTACCCTCTCCACTCTTGTTCATTGTTTTTCTAGTTGTCCGCTGTTTTCCAAAAGTGCAGATTGGATTGTGATTCAGCGCTATTCAGTAAAGCCTCCACCTTTTTTGTCTTCAGTCACTTTACAGACGAGTGCAAAACATTTACATTCGGCGTAACAATAGCTCTAGATCTGCGGTTTGAAGTTCCATTAGTTTTTGTGCCCTATGTGGCTATAAAGTTAATTGCCTCCACACAAAAAATCGACTCTTCGTGCCTGTTTATAGAACACCAAGTACTTGTAATTGTTAACGTCATCTGTGTAATGGCCAAGCTAATTGCTTCCAAGGCTGACTTATAAAAGCTATTATAACATAACCAAAGTAAAGCGCGCGCTCTGATTGGTCAATTTAGCGTCTCCCATTTGCCCATGGGTGTACGCTGCTGACGTGAGCAAATGCAAAGACTATTTTCCGCCCCCGCTTGTTTTTTCTGGTCACGTAAGATTTGTTAAATAAAAGGGAACTCTTTAGCTACAATGTATCAATGTTATGTTATAAAACAAATGGTAAACACCACA